GCCGCCACCACCACCAGCTCCTCCTAAGCCAAAACCAGCGCCTGCTCCACCACCATAGCCAACACCAAATCCTGATCCTCCACCAAAGCTGTATCCACCACCGGCTCCGCTCCGTAGACCTCCACCGACTGAACTGTAGGAAATTCTTTTGTTTCCACCAAAGTTATAGAGACTTCTGCTTCCGAAGCCACCACCAGCTCCGAAGCCTCCTCCACCTCCGGCTCTTCCTCCTCCAACTCTGGAGACGGAGACGGAGCTAAAACTGCTCCTAGCACCACCGCTACCTCCTACGATAGCAGAACCTGAGCTAAAGCCCCTCATGCCCCCACCAGTAGATGATCTGAAAGAGATCCGACTCATGGTGGCTCCTTCAGCTGGAAATGCAAAGAGCAGGAACAAAAAAAAAAGTGGTGAATTAAAGCTGAGCTGCAGGAGAAGAGCAGAGGGCAACAGAGACAGAAACCCCTGTGATGGGAGAGCTTGGGAGCCTCCTCTTTTATCTGCTTGGAAAACTTGGCACGGGAATTCAGAACTTGACGTGCCTTGCAGCAACTTGCCTTGTCAAACACACCTAGGCTACGGCGAGGAGTTGAAAAATGCATTGTTTGCAGGCAGGGAAGTAACGGAGCGATCGAGCTCCCCCCTGCTGCTCTGAGTCACCAAATCAGAATGGGATGGGACGACTCCCCGGGATCCGCGCTTGCTCCGGAGCAGGACGCAGCACGACTCTCCCAAGACCCCAAGAGCTGGTTTTCCTTGCAAGAGCAAGAAGATCTTCTGTGGGCTCACTCACTTGTGTTAACAGCACCAAAATCATTGCAAAATTCTGTTTAGGGTTTAACATATTGAGCAGCAGAAAGGGCAGGAGGGGATGTCTACAGAAATAGAGGCTGAGGCTCCTCAGTTTGGCCATGAATTCTAATCAGCTATGAAAGCCTTGAAGCCAAAGGTGATGACTTCTCCGTGCATGTCCTTGGATTCCTTTCGGGAAAGGGCCCTAAGTGATCACAGCGTGGGCTGACAGCCCTGAGCTGAGTGGCGATGGTCTCGTGGCAGCGTTTTCTGAGATCTCACCCCAAAATGATCTTCCCTTGTTGCAAGAGAAGCAGCACCCGAGTTATTACTTGGTGTGTCTTTCAGCGACAGCCTTTCTGAAATCACTCTAAACTACCTTAAGTAGCATTATGGGACTTATAAAATATTGAAGTGTTGATTGAAAGGATTGCATTGCATCAGGTACTGCATTAGAAATCATGTCTAGTGCTCTTTCCCCCACAGTTTTCACATCATCTCTTGCTCTTTGAGTGGTTTTGTGCAGGGGAATTTGGCAGCGTTTGCATTCGGGTCAGCCACCCCTCCTGAGACTGTAGTGGTAAGACTTTGGTGAGTCACTTTGGGCTTGAGCTTTTGGGTGAACCATCTCCCATGCGATTCGATTGACGTGATATTGTGTTTTAGGACAGCCTAAAGGTCTGAGAGCCGAGACCCGCTTCTCCCGTGTCCATGAAGAGCTGGACACAGGTTATAAGAGATGGGGGTCTCCTCCCAGGCACCACAAACCCTCTGCAAACTCTGGGCCACAGTTGCATCCTTGAGTGACGAGGGCCACTGATTTCCAGCAGGCCACTTGTCAGATAAGGTGTGAGGCAGTGAGATGAAAGCCCAAGCAAGAAATCAAACAGATTCCTGCACATTTGGATACGTGAGCAATCACTGCAGGGACTTAATCCAAAATTAGCGGCTTAAGGGTATCTGTAGCATCTCGTAGCTTGTTTCTCTTGATGTTTTTCCAACCGTTGGGTTTTTTTTTTCTTTTTTTTTTAAGGCTGGGAACTTGAATGAACGTGAGCAGAAGGTGTTCCTTCCCTCCCTACCATTGCGAAGGGCAAATATCCTTCGCTTCCAGCATTCCTGTCACTGCTTTATTGCCAATAAGGTGAGTCACGAGCGCCCAAAGCTGTCGGGAAGGCCCCGGGTGGGAGCCGCGTTGCAGCGCGCTCGCCTCGCTGCACCGGAGACGTCTTGATGGTAGCAAGGGGGTGCTCTCGTCTCGCCAGTGGAGACGTGGGAAGGTGCTGGCTCCTTTGCAAGGCGCTGGAAACGCAAAGTTTCGCAGGAAAATTGCACCCACGCTTGCCTGACCGGCCCGGGAGCTGCTGAGGCTGCCAGCAAGCCCTGATTTCACGTCTGATATGCAGAGGCATCAATAAGCGCGTCACATCAGAAGCAATGCCGTAAATGCTACTGATTTGACGTTGATGCTAGAAATAAGCAAACGGTGTCACAAGCACAAGAGATGGGCAGAGATTTGGGGATTTCTTGGCCTGTCAGTCCTTGGCAGATGCGAATGGGCACCTGTGTGCCCAACCCAGGGGAACGGGGCCAGGCAACGCCAGCAGCAGAGCTGCCCTTGAATTCCAAAGAACTATGCAAAGTCGCACCTGGGAATCTGCACACGGGCTGCAAACGTTTTAATTAGGGCAATGAAAAAGGGTTCGGGTTCAAGACGCTCCTCGGCTCTTCTAGGAAAGGCGCTTGCTGCAGACGGGGATAATTAAGTAGAATATTACAAAGGGTTTTGAAGAGCAAAGCCGACAGAGGCACCAAAGCAAGGGAAGCTCTTGCAGGATCGCACAGCTCAGTGACTGCAGGAGCTCAGCTCCCTGCGAGCATCTCCTCTTTTGGACCCTGTTATTTGCCTTTTCTCACCCTAAACTGGTAGAAAGATGTTCAAAACTACATGGTTGGTTAACATTGGGCTGGAATATTAGTTCCTCACACCCATTTAAATCAGCATTAGCGCGGGCGAGTGCAGGAGCTCGGAATGACTCAGTTTTAACCGGTGCTTGTTTTTGGCTCCAGCAGAGGCCATGGGGCACTTCTGTCCCTGGCCTTTGCTCTCCGCTCCTGCTGCTCCTTTCCTTGTCGGATCCATGACTCTCGTTTGTCTTTGCAGCTGGAATTCAGCCGTGCTTTGCCGGAGAAGCTGCGAGCGCGTGTTGGAAAGCTGCTCCCTTAGCGTGTGCTCACTTGCTCCTTCCCGGTTGCTGCTCCGAGTTATGTAAAGCCGGGATGCTGTGAGGTCAGGGAAGAGGGAAGCGTCTGGCTCTTTGAAATGCAATGAGCTGGGAATATTTGTCTGAGGGTTTAGGGGGAGGTTTGGGGGCTGTGAGGGCTGCCCCAAGTAGCTGCAGCCTTTGTGAGCTGCTCTGGCTCCCCGAAACCCAGCCCAGCTCTAGATCCTGCGGATAAAATCCTCCCCCAGAGCCCTTTAAGGCTTGGTTTTGCTTTGCCTTTTTAAGAAAGACTGGATTTTTGCCCTAGCTAACAAAGCTGGCCCAAACCCTCCCTGCCATGAAAGAAAAACTTTTTGGATCAACCCACAAAATATGCAAAGACTCAAGCTGTGCTTAATTGTGTTGCTGCATAAACAGACAAGCAGTGTCTTCCCCCACCCCCGCCTCCTCTTCCTCCTCCTCCCTCTCTTCCCTTTTCCATTTCTTCTGGGATGACACAGCGAATCTTGAGCTTTTCATTATTTCTTTTCAAAATTTGAAAACTTTTCCTCCAAAGTTTCCTTGGGTTTGCTTTCCCCCCGCTCTGTTGTAGATTCAGGAATATTTCCTGCTACTGATTCTCTCTTAGACTAAAAAGAAGCAGCCTCCAATAAATTACAATCCGGTTTTACTGGAACACGCTCCAAAAAGAGAAAGGAAGGAAAACACAGCGTCATTTCAGTATCAAGTAAAGTAGAAAAAGCCACAATTTGAAAAGGAAGGAAAACACAGCAACATTTCAGTATCAAGTAAAGTAGAAAAAGCCACAATTTGAGGTTTTTAATGGTGCTTTCACAAAAATAAAAGGACTCATTGGATGCTAGAGGGGTGAGTGCAGCATTTAAAAAGGGGAACATCAACTTTGGGTGCTTCTTTACCCTCGTGGCTGGGCCCCTGGGCTCCAGCTTCTGCTTACCGTCAGTCCCAAGTGCTGGATCGAAACACGACTCTGCTTCTCTGCTTTTCTTTTGGCAAGAAATCCTGCTGGTGGTGGTGAAGCTGAAATCCTCCCTGGATCCTGCTGGACACGGCCCTTCAGTCAGTTTTTTTTTGGAGTGATTTTCAGCAGGGTGGGCATTTGCCTTGATTGCTGCTACCAGCATAGGGGAGGTCAATGAGACTGAGGCTGTTGGCTGATTTTTGTGCTTTTTAAGCCATTTGCACCAAACCTTAGCATGAGACAACAGCAACCCAGGTTGCCACTGAACACTGATGAGGATGCTGAATCCCAATGGACTTCAGAGACAGCTGCTATTGCTTGCACAGTTGGAGGTGTATTTTAAGAAGCTTGGCTATATCTGGGAGAGAGAGGAATTTTCCACTGCCACTGGGGTGCTTTGGGGTGATCCCAATGGACTCTGTGCTCGTACAATGAGGGATGCTTTAAAAGGGGCCCTGGGCTTGCAAAGTGCTGCCTTGGTTCTTTCAGCAACCTCCCAAGTTGTTTCTACATGGCAGAAATGTGTGATAAAGATGGATCGCCTCCCTTGAAGGAATGAGTTTGGGTCCTCCCAGCAGTGAAGACCAAGCAAGTTGGATTAAAGCCACATTCCTAGCCCATCCCCTGGGCTTCTGTGGACCAGAACTGCAAATGCTAACCCACGCTAAACCCTCTGCTACTGCATCTTCTGGTCTAGGTGATGGGCATTAGCTGGTGCTGGACAGCTAGCTGCAACTACAAGCAAGCTGCTCAGCCTCATTTAAAAGATAAAAGCAACCTCAAAAGCCTCCCATTTCTCATTCAGAAAATCACTCGGGCCTGTGTTTTCCTTTTTCGGGTCCTTGGAGAAATCTGCTTAGTGTGTGTTCCGCTGCTTTTCCTGAATCGGGGCCCAAATTCTTAGCAACTACGGTGCGAGGAGCAGGAACGGGGTGGCAAGAGGAGAGGATGGTGTGCAGGAGCGATACAGGAGCGCCGGGTTTGTGGAGGGTCTCCCATCAGGTTTATTCAGGCTGCACGGCGTTCTTCAGGCTTTGGCTTTTGATGCTCTTTTTGCTGGAGGAAGTTTTGGAGACGATTTTCACACCGGGGTTGGTGCCTTTTGCGCTTCCAGAGCTGAAGTTTCCTCCGCTGGTGCTCAAGCCGCTGCCGCCGCCGCCTCCTCCGAAGCTGTGACCACTTGCGATGCCCAGACTGCTGCCTCCTCCCAGGCCAAGACCGCTTCCTCCTCCATAGCCACCTCCAAGACCATGTCCTCCTCCACTTCCAAAGCTGTAGCCTCCACCGCCGCCTCCTCCAAGACCAAAACCACTTCCACTGCCTCCTCCAAGACCAAAACTGCTTCCACCTCCTCCTCCAAGACCAAAACCGCTTCCACCGCCTCCTCCGCTTAGGCTCAGTCCACCAAATCCTCCTCCTCCGCCAGCCAGACTCGAGCTGGAGCTGATCACAGCTGCAAGAGAAACAACCAGACACTCAGGCAGCTGCTATGGCCATCACCTGCTTCCAGAAAGCACCATATGATCCTGAATCCCTAGGGATTTAACCTGACTTCCATTCTCTGTACAAACCACTAGAGGCTCTGAACGTCTTCTATGGAGTGATTGGCTTTTTATGCAGTGAAAGGGTCCAAATTGCCCTTTTCTGGAGGTTCCCGGCATACCCTGCTCCAATGGACCCAAGACAAGACAAGGTTTGTGGTACTTACAGTAGCTGATGGGGTTCAGTCCCTCCCCGCTGAGCCTGTTGGAGAGCAGAGAAGGGCAGGTTAGTGCAAATGAAAGAGACACTTGAGGAGACCAACCTGCTTGCAGGGAGAACGCGCTCTCTCTATTCTTATTGCTACAGGGATTTCATTCCCACCTGCTCTCCTCTCCCTCCAGCAGCTTCCTGTAGGTCGCGATCTCGATGTCCAGGGCCAGCTTGACGTTCATGAGCTCCTGGTACTCGCGGAGCTGCCGGGCCATGTCGGCCTTGGCCTTCTGCAGGGCATCTTCCAACTCGGCCATCTTTGCCTTGGCGTCCTTGAGGGCGAGCTCGCCGCGCTCCTCGGAGTCTCCGATGGCCGTCTGCAGGGTGGCACACTGCAAGGGAGGGAAATGGGGCACCTCCTAATTGCTGCTTTTCTTTGTGGGCAAGAGTCACCCCAGGAATAAAACCATTCTGGCCCTGTTATTAACAAACAGTGGTTGTTAATGAGATCATTGATCCATAGCCTGGAAACAGTGATGTGATACATACAGGCTGAGGATAGAGAGTAGTAACCCTTTCTGGAGGGAATTCAGTACTCTGCAATGAAGCATGTCATGGTCCAGAGCTGTTGAAGCCCATGAATGACAAGACAGTAGCAGGTAGCAGAGCTGTGGTACTAAGGGACCATGGCATTTGGCTCTACAGGCTCTTTTTGCCAGTCCTACCTGGTTCCTCGCGTTCTCTATCTCTGACCGAATTCTCTGGATCAGCCGGTTGAGCTCGGAGATTTCCCCCTTTGTGTTGCGCAAGTCGTCTCCGTGCTTCCCAGCAGTGGCCTGCAGCTCTTCAAACTGTAATTCAGAAAGAAGTGTAAACTTCTTGCAGAAAGATGCAAAAATGCATCCATTCAATCTATGGGTCTGCTCACCTTGGTTTGGTACCAAGCCTCAGCCTCTGCCCGGCTCCTGTTAGCAATGTCTTCATACTGAGCTTTGACTTCAGCTATGATGCTGCTGAGGTCCAGGTCCCGGTTGTTGTCCATTGACAGAATGACAGCAGTGTCGGACACCTGCGCACTGAGCTGAGCCAGCTCCTGAAAGGAACAACACAGTCATGGTCCTGCATGTACCTTTATAGATGCCACCAACGACGGCAAGCTCTGTGCAGGGGTTGACTGTAGGACCGGGGGAGAAGATCTGTACCGCGTCGTAGAGAGCTCGTAGGAAGTTGAGTTCATCGGTCAGGGCATCCACCTTGGCCTCAAGCTCCACCTTCGTCATGTAGGCAGCATCCACATCCTGGAAAACAGCAACTCCAGTGACATCTGCAGCACCAGCAACTCCTCTTTGCCTCAACCAAGAACCGGTGAAGCTCGGAGATTGGGCTGCCCCAATCTTGCTCTTGCAGCAAGAGTGCTGCCTGAGTGGAGAACCGTGCTTGGCACATCCACCTGAAGGAGCACCTAGGGTGCATCTCTTGGCCAAAAGAAGTGTTGTCGATAACCTCGTAACGGGATGAGGATGGAGTGCAGGTAACTTGGTGCGAGATTCCTGGCACTGGTGACAATCTCTGCATCTTGCCCAGACAAGTGTTTATGTAAGTTATGGGTCAAGAGTTGGAAAATAATTTGCTTCCAGCCTTCTCGACGCCCCTCATTTTAAGACTACTGCCACCTGTGAAATCTTTGGAGTTAGCTCTGCTTTGGTACCACCTTCCATCTCACCCACCTTTTTAAGGACCACAAATTCATTCTCTGCTGCTGTGCGACGGTTGATTTCCTCTTCGTATCTACAGGGATGAAAGGAAAGACATGCTGGATCACACCATGGTAAGCAGGAAAAATTGTACAGGTAGGACTGTGAGATTGCCTGGGCTGGGGATAAGGTTTGCAAATCAGCCTCTTGGAGGCTGCCCTGCTCCAAGCTGCGAGCATCTCTTTTCTCGAGGGCTTGAAACAAAACATTCTGGCATAATGCAGATGGAACAAGGAAGGTAAAGCAGTCTATATAAATGATTTTCCTTTGCAAATGCCATCTCAAAACTGTTTTCTTCTGGCTCAAACTGCCTTTGCTGACTAGAAAAATGTTGACAAACCTCCTTCCTGCTGCTGGGGGAGGCATCTTATAAGAGCTATATCTTAGAGGGTGATTAATGAGGTGCCTTGTGATGGGCTGGGGATACTTGTCTCCTTCCCCTCTCTACCTTAGGAGGTTTGATGAATATGTCAGACTAGATATTTGATCACAGAAAAGCCAAATTTAATTGAGATTAATCCTGCTGCATAGTGCTAAGCTAAACCATTTGCATCCCATTTCACCCAAGGGTGCCCAGGTGTGCCCTTAAAAAGGCACTCACTTGTTCTTGAAATCCTCAACGAGGTCCTGCATGTTTTTCAGCTCCCCATCCATGCGGCCCCGCTCATTGAGCAGGCTGGCCAGTTGCCGTTTCAGGTTGTTGATGTAGGCCTCAAAGAGCGGGTCCATGTTGCTTTTGCCCGTGTTGTTTTTCTGCCCCTGCTCCTGCAGGAGGGTCCATTTGGTCTCAAGCACCTTGTTCTGCTGCTCCAGGAAGCGAACCTGAGCATTGGGAAGCAAAAGGTGTTTAATGGAAGATACCTATGAGCGTGTGGACAGACAGAATCAGTACCTGAGACTGACAGATGGTACAAGCCAAGGGAATCCCGAATTGAGGCCAGTAAGTCTAGCTCTATATGTCCTCCTCATTATCAAGGTCCATGTTAACCCATCCATGACTAAGCAAACCTGACATCAGTGGGCAATTCTGCTCAGAAGCAATTTAACTCAGCAAGTTCATGAACAATCACTAGAAAATGTGAGTTCAGTTATACCGTCTTTTGCTTTCTTTAACAGCTTCCACTTTTCCCTTCCTTATAAGCGATATTTTTTCCTCCTCCTTTAAGCTAAGATTTGAGTAATACAGATTAAAAGCCAAGAAAGGATTTAACATGAGTCAATGGGTAAAGGAATGTAACTCAGAGGCAATAAAACAGTTTAGTCCTGTAGCTGTTCAGAAGTATGGTAGCTGTTTAGAAGTATGTTCTCTTTCGATTTCTTGAGATGTGAGGATAGGACATGCACAATAGCCTGAAGATTTATGAAGCTGTATTTTAGTAGGTGGCAGACTGTCTCACTCTGTCACAATTAGGTAGAATTTAGGCAGAAATCTCACCTTGTCGATGAAAGAAGCAAATTTGTTGTTGAGGGTCTTGATTTGCTCCTTCTCATCTTTTCGCACCTGCTGGATGTTTGGGTCAATCTCCAGGTTCAAAGGTGCCAGGAGAGTCTCGTTGATGGTCACTTCTTGGATTGTACCGACTCCAGGTGGGCCAACGCCAAATCCTGATGGACTTCTGCCACCACCCAGCCCTCCGCCAAATCCTCCCAGGCCACCTACTCCACCAAAGCCAAAGCCTCCACCAGCTCCATGTCCGCCACCGAAACCAAGCCCATAAGCACTTCCACCAAAGCCATATCCTCCACCAGCACCACCACCAGCACCACCTCCACCACCAAGAGCAAGTCCAAGTCCACTTCCCAGGCCAGAGCCGCCACCAGCTCCACCTCCAAAAGCAGCCCGGTAGCTGCTGCCAACACCAATGGAAATCCTCTTGGTACCACCAAGGTTGTAGAGACTCCTGCTGCCGAAACCAATGCCACCGCCGCCGCCACCTCCTCCAATGAGCCTTCCAACACCACCGCCACCTCCTCCGGATCGTGCCATAGACATGGAACTAAAGCTAGCCCGGCTGCTGCTTGGAATAATAGCGGAGGCCACGCTGAAGCTTTTGCCTCCCCCTCCAGCTCTCATGCTGTAAGTTTGACGGTTCATGGCAGCAGGTGATAAGAACCCAGCACAGAAAAAGAACCTGCAGGCTAGGAGAGGACCTCTCTCTGAAGGAGGAGAGCATGGCATGGCCTTTTTATCCCTCTGGTGATTGGGGCTTGGTTGCATGGAAGCCAAGAGATCAACTTGGTGCCTTCATGGTTTTGACGTGCCGGGCAGCCAGCTGTCTTGTTGGACTCGTTAAGCACTGATTGCACTCGAACACACCTATTGATGCTTGTCTGCTCAGCTAGAAGAGTTATCTAACTCCCTGGTTTCTGGTGGGGAGAGCCCAGCTGTAGGGCTAAGTCTTTGTGTCCTTGCAGATGTGCAGACCCCCGCTGCCAGGCTTTGCAGAATTGCAATGTTTGCAACATTTTCTTCTTCATATTTAAGATCTCAAGTCCCTATCAGCATTTATGCATCCTGGTGGCGTTGCATGCTCTGTGCACATGACTGGAACTCAATATATGCCTGCATATTTTCAGGGCAGGAATCTACATGCTCCTTGAAATACATTCATGTGCCCAAGTACTGAAAAACATAAAGTATGAGCTAAAGCCCCACTGGCTTCTCTGGAAGAAAAATTAATCAGGTGCTTCATGTCCTACTGAATATAGAAGCCCAAATATATGATTAACCCTGCAGAAGTGCTGTCAGTCAGGTTCAAACCAGGAGAGTTGGCCAAATTTCCCATTGCAGTGCCAAATTCCCAGGTGACACCAATTTCCCTGCTGCTCTTTGGGAAATGTTGAGCTAAATCTACCCAGACTGCAATCCATGGACATATATTGCCTTGATTATTTGCATAAAATGCAAAGCCCGGGCGCGATGGGAAAATGAGATTGGCTTTATGCTTTCGTGACCCCAAAAAAAAGGCAGATTGTCCCAAAGCTGACAGACGGGTTCGCATCAGATGTTAGAGCTGAATGAAGATGATAGGATTAAGGGTGCGGTTGCCAACAAGACAGAGGGAATTGCCATTTTAGGCTCCCACACTCTTCTTCCTTCAGCCTACTGCCCATAAGGTATGCAAGCAATGCAAAGGCTGGGGTGAAAACTCACAATTTCTGGACCTGGCTGGCTTATTGCATGCAGGTGGCTGCTAGGATGGGCTGGGGTTCCCAGGTTTGTGCCCAGATGTGGCTCTTTTGCACAGCTCTGGCCACTCATTTCAGCTCTGCAAGACTCAGAAATCTCCCAAATGCACATTCAGAGTGAGGCCCACCAGGATTTGACCGTCTGAGCCTGCTTGGGCTCCAACTACCCCAAAAAATCCTCAGTCTGGAGCTTGTTCCTGGCCTTCCTTGCCAAAATAGCCTGATCCACATGATCCTCCACAGACAGCAAAAAAACAAAAGAAAAAACCCATGGGTTTTGCAATAGTTGGGAGTTGAGAAGGGCAGGGAAGATTAAAGGTATTTTCCCAGAAAGAGGACAGGTATGAGAGCTGCTCGGCCACTTTGGTACCCCGGGGAGCTGACGGTTATTGGTGTGCAGTTATTGCTCTATAGCTGGGCGATGATCAACATAAATAATGAGCTGTTTTGGCACCAGGAGCTTTTTTTTTTTTTTGTCTGTCTATTTGTGCTTGTTATTTACATACAAATGAGTAGTTGAAATCACAGGCATTGGGACAGAAAAGCTGAACATAACCATGGCCAAAGACATCCTCTCTGGGTGACTGGGAAGCCCAAGTTTGGCTTTCTCCCCAAGGGCTGATCCATGGGGTTTTTCATTATCCCCCATCCCAGATAGTGGCTCTAAAGCTTGTTGCTTATTAAAAATAATTAGTACCTGACGATCATTTGGTACCTGATGATCACATCCACTAAACCATCTTGTTTTCCACCAGAAAAGCCATCACATGAGAAGCCCAAACCCACTGCACTCCATGATGGATGAGCAGTGGAGATGGATGCTCACAGGAGGGCAACCAGCAGCAGATCCATCACCATCCCACCGACATGGACGGACGGAGCCAAACGGGGTTATTTAACTTAGTCTCCAGCCAGTGGAGCAAGACTGCAGTTTAAAACAGAAGTATTTAAAGAAGAAAGTGCCCAGTGTTTTGTTTTGGAAAGGAATACTTATTTTCTTTTAAAATGAGCCCGCTTTTGTTAGAAGGTCTCAGGGGTGGAGTTGAGGATTTTTTCCTACTACTTGAGCTGGTTCCCACTGATTTCTTTACACAAGAGCTGCCTTTTTTTGTTCTGCCTCCAGAGATCCCAGACACTGAGGGAGATCCCAAGCAAACTGCTGATCCCACGATTGGATACATTTCCTGGTTAACTCAGCATTTCCAGACTTCCTTGTGGCTGTGCTCATTTCTGGATGGAATAAAGGTATGCAAAAGCGCATCAATAAGGACAAAGTCTCCAAAAACTTTGTCAAAACTCCAGGTCTTGCTAGGTGGACCGCACCCATTTGGGGTTTTGTGTTTGAGAAAATATCTAATACCGTGGAAGGAAATAAGACCTGAGAGACAAAGCATGAATTATGCATGTAGTTTATTGAAGGTACAGCTGAAAGTTTGGAGTTGTGGATAATAAGCGGAGGATAATCAACTCTGTTCGCTTATGCATTAAAAGCATCAAATCTGTTTAACTAGTACACACACAGGAAAAACAACGCATGCATTTAACTACAGAAATATAAGGTGCTCATCGGTTTGTAATTAAAATGTGCTCTACCAAACCTGATGTAGCAACTTGGAACAATTTGCATAACCCCTACCAACCCTGTCATTAACAGGAAAAATTGGATTTTGTACTGTCATTAAGGAAGCTAAGTAATAGCTGCAGCTCCGTCTTGGAGAATTAAGATGCGGCTTTTCTTTCTGAAATTAGAAAGGCCAAATTTTTTTGTCCTTTTGCAATAGCTGTGCTAAGGAAAATGTGGCAAGAACAGCCCTGGTGAAGAAGGATCCAACAGAGGAGACCCATTAAGAGCCATGATAATGTGTGAATGCAGCTATGGGCTCTCTGAAATGAAAATCTCACCAGTTTGAGATCCTGGGGGGAATTTTCCCCCAAGAGGACTGGGCAAGAGAAGGTGGTTTGGGTCCTGCAAATAGTTTTTGGCGGAGCTGCTAGTCTAGTTCTTGTGTTGGCCTGGGCACTGCATGGTTGTGTGATTCCTATAGCTGTCAAAAGGTAGGGAAATACTGTTTTAATGCAGAAATGCTAATTCTTTTAAAAAGTGATGTGCTCTTGCTCTCCAGGCTCTACCGGGTTGTTCTGACCACGCGCACGGCTGTATTGTACCTGTTTCCAGTGGCACAGACCCCCGGCCCGGGAATGATGACGCTTCCCGGGTTGCACTGCTCCACACCGGCACACATGACGGTGGCCACGCCAGGGGAGCACTGCACCGTGTCCGCCCCGGGGATCACGTCCCGACCCACGCAGCTCACCGCGCTCCTCGCCCCGAATCCGGCCCCTACTCTGGGCAGGCAGTCTACGCTGCGGGCGCTAAATCCGGCGCCGCCGACTCCGAAGGAGGAAACTATTCCCAAGCCCGAACTGGCCCCTCCGGTCTTCACTGTGCATTTGCCTCCAATTCCGGATAAGGTTCGGCCTTCCCTTTTTTTTTCGGCATACCCCGACCGTGCCTCCACCGCTGACCACCGCTGCAGGAGAAAAACAGGTTCACTCCCTGCCCGAGCAGGCTCCCGGATCGCCGTGAAGCTGAGCTTATAGGGAAACTTGGAAGCTTTTGAGATAAGGAAGCAAGGGGAATGTTTTGCTGACTTACCTACGCTCACGGGGTTGCCAGTGCATATCCTGTAAGGAAAAGAGGTGTCACATACAGGTATTTAAGGTAATACTCCCAAATCTACCTGCAAACAAAGCTGGTGCCCAGGCACTGCCTCCTTAGAAACCCTGCAGGTGCTTCGGCTTTACTAAGCACCCAAATTTCTGAGATGTTGGCCCAAATTTCTCCCTGAACCACTGATACCTGGGTTGTTAAATTCCATAACTGTCTTAATCTCCCTTCTTTTACCGGTTCTGCAGGTGGCAGGGGGGAGAATGGAGGCAATGCTTTCCTATGTGCCATGGGGAACTGCATCCTACCTGCTCTCTTCTCCCTCCAGCAGTGTCCTGTATGTGGCTATCTCGATGTCCAGAGCCAGCTTGACGTTCAGCAGCTCCTGGTAGTCCCTCAGCAAACATGCCATCTTGTCCTTGGCCTGCTGCAGGGCGGTCTGCAGGTCGATCAGCTTCTGCCGAGCATCCTTGAGGGCACAGTCACCCCGCTGCTCCGCGTCGCAGATGGCCGTCTGCAGAGCTGAAATCTGGGGACAGCAATGAGCAGTGATCCTTGATTTGCAGAGGTATCTCTGGTTGCTTATAAGCAACATAACGTTGCTTATGTTCCCCTGTGTTTCTCAGCTGTTTTTCTCCTAGAACTGCCAGAGTTTTATACTGGAAGTCTACACTTGGGATGGCCAGGTGTTTGGGATGCAAGGCACTGTGCCAGCTACAGGAAACATACAGCAAACTTCTGTTGTAGCCAAGCCAAGTGGCTCCTGCTCATTTGGTGAGTGAGAAATAAATCTACCTCCCTGTGTTTGTGTCTCATTCTGCCTTGAAATGAGAAGGTACAAAAAGGAGATATTCATCCTACCTGTTTCTTCACATTATCCGACTCGCACTGCAGCTTCTGGATCATCCGGTTCAGCTCGGCTATCTCGCTCTGGTTGTTCCTCAGATCATCGCAGAACTTGCCTCTGCTGCTGTGGAGCTCCTCCAGCTAAACATCAGGAACAAGATGAGGTTACAAAGCTGTGTCACCCCTTCCAGGAAAGGTGGCGATTCTGGAATTTGCACTGATGTCTGTGGAAATACCCAGACGCGACCTCACCCTGGACAAGGCCCATTACAGGTAAGCCCCAAACATTTGCCCTTAGGGATGGGGACAGCATAGGTCTGCACAGAGGAGACCTCTCTGAAGTAGCAGTGTGGTTTGCCACACTCTAACATTATGAAAATAGTCTTTGCAAGGTTTTGGTATGACTTTCTCTAGTGAGCTGTAGCAAACACACTTTGGTGTGGCGTCTCAGCTGCATCGTGAGAGATGGAAATGGCTCTCAAGTGTCTTATGGACCAGGAGCTTACGTTGCCATTTGTGCTGGTGGTGTGATTACTCACTCTGGTTTGATAGAAAGCCTCCACTTCAGCCTTGCTCTTCTGGGCAATCTCCTCATAGCAGCACTCCACGCTTTTGATGATGCCTTCCATGTCCAGGTCCCGGCTGTTGTCCATTTGCACAATGACAGAGGTGTCGCACAACTGGCAATCCAGCTGAGCTCTCTCCTGCAAGATCCACCACATTTCAGCGTTCTTCCCTCAGCCAGCCCATGCCAAGATCTTCCTGGTCATGCACGGCTAGAGTGTAGGGTTCTCCAGGTAGGTGGCTGGTTTCCAGCCAGCAGCTGGGACCTGTTGTTATGGCACAACATGGCTTTGTGGTGTGCAATTCCCTAATGAAGGGTGGAGAATCCTGGTGTAGCAACTCCCTTCATTGCTGCTTGGCAATTCCAGCTGTTTCAGCGGTTTTCTGGGCTGCCAATCCCTCAAGAGTGAATACTTTGGGCCTGACTGTCTATGGGTTTAGTTAAACTAGGTGGAAAACAAATGCAGAGCGTTGCCTCTGTGTTTTGGTAAGAATGTGTCATGTTGTAGCCCAGAGTATTGCTTTCATCAGAATTTTCTAGGCTCTTTCTTGCAAAAATACCTCACACTTTACAGCTAGATGCAAGAAAATGCCCTTTGCCTTCCTAAAGCGCGTGCAATAATGTTGTTTGTAAGTACATATGGAGAGCAAGAGTTGTTTGGGATGCGATCACAGGACTAGATGCTTTAGGACACCTTGCATTAGGTTTTGCTGCGACCTACCTCGGCATAAATGCACTTGAGGAACTCCAGCTGCTGCCGCAGCAGGCCCACCCTCACCTCCAGCTCCTCCTTCGTCAGGTACAGACAGTCCACGTCCTGCAGAGACACCACATAGTCACAGAAAAGACTTGGGGAAACAGCAACTGCAGCAAAGCCTGCTCTCCTGGCCAGGTTTGGAAGAAACCTCACAGCTTCCAGCCTTCAGGACTAGCTGTGTTTGCATTCTGAAAGCGCATGTTTGATGGGGATTCTCTAAATTTCTGGGATACCATCTATTTTGAGGCTAACTGCTTGGGCTGAAAAGCCATCAGGCAGTGTCATTGTGCTGAAACGTGACTCTCCATTTCTGTTCCTGGCCCGTCACCTGGATTTGGGCCACTCTTTAATCCTCGTTAGCCTCATCTGTGGTGTGACTTACCTTCTTGAGCACCACAAACTCGTTCTCTGCAGCCGTGCGCTTGTTGATCTCATCTTCATACCTGTTGGAGCAAAGGAGAGGGCTGCACTGCTGAGGCCGGGCAAGCAACCAGCATCAAAGCAGGGCCAATGTGGCAAGCAGGACCGAACCTGGGGCCTCTCCCTATGAGCCACATACTTCCTTTTCCATTTGGCTATTTCGTTTTGTCCTCCCTATCAGTCTTCGTTCAGCACGCTAGTCCATGCTAGCAGTATGGGTATCTCACTGGTGCAAAGCTGGGGAGAGATGGCAGTAAATATGGCTAAACCACTAAAAATGCCAACCCGTGGACTTCTGCTGAAGGTTGATGTGCTGCTGCTAGTCCTGCTGCTGTGTGGGCTTGTTGGGGAAGGGTTCTTTGCTCTAGTGCATGGGCAGATTGCATCCAAAGTGCTCCGAGGAAGGTCAGGAGCTTGAGCAACCCTCCAAACTCCCAAGTGCAGTGGCCAGGAAAGCGGACGGATAATTGGCACCTAGGAGAACTTTCACAAGAGGAGTCTGACCTCCTCACTGGTGGCTCAGTAGAGAAAACACATCTGGGATATTTGGCTTTTAGATCTTCGGAGCAGGGACTACTCTTACATGTTCTGCTATCAGGAGGAATCAGGAACCAGGAATCAAGTCCTAGTTTTATGGCTTAGACTAAAACCCAGGAAGCTTTTCAGGAATATTTGCATCTTAGATTAAAAACTGAATGCCCGCATTCCCTCTGGCAAGACGGGCTGAGCCAACTCCCAAGCAGACGATGGGGATAACGTGTTGGGTGGAGGCAAATAGACCGAGGGTTTTGCAGGAAGGGATCGCACTGGGGGATCGCAGAGGAATATATTATATGGGCAATTTGATATGACAAGCCACAGCCGAGTGCAGGAGTGACAGAGGGAGGACAAGTGCTTCCCCACTGCTCTCTCTATGGAGACGCTGTGGCTGAAGAGCTCTTCCAGTCCATCAGCATCTGAGAGGACCCCAGCACAAGAAACCAGACCAGCGCTGGTGTCCTTGGACCCCAGGAGATATCTGCATTGGCTTCATGCTCCAAAACACCTCTCCAAGCCCCAATGTGCAGCTGCTGTCCGTGTGTCCTACTTACTTGCATTTATACTCCTGAACCAGGTCCCTCAGGCACCGCTCCTCATTTTCCAGCCTCTCGCGCTCACCCAGGACACACTCCAGCTGCTTCCTCAGGTTGCAGATGTAATTCTCGAAAACCGGCTCCAGGTTTCTTCGGGAAGCTGGGAGAACATATTGCTGCAGCAGCTCCCACTTGGTGGTCAGCACCTTGTTCTGTTGCTCCAACAGCCGGACCTGGGAAGCAAGAGATGCCAAGGTCATTGCATAGTCCCATCACATCCCCCGCAAAGAGTTTCTCTGCTACAAAAAGGAAGGAAAAGGGGGAAAAAAAGAAAAAGAAATGCAAAGCCGTGGTTTCTCAGCATCTTAACCTGGACCGATCATATGATCATACATCACAGCCTGAAGGACACTGGTGGGGATTCCCCTGTAACAGGCACAATCTGTCCAAATAAAGCACAGATCAGCCCAACTCTTCCCCTGGGACAACTCGTGGCTGGGGGATCCCCTGCCAGCTCCAATAGGCGATTACAGTAATGAGCCTTTTGCTGTGCTAAAAGCTGCATCCAGAATCTCATTTGGATGTATCTGATGTAAACACTAACCACGGATACTTATCATGCCTTTCATTTCTAGATTAAAGAGCCCTCTAATACTTGAGAACCTTTGAATAACATGAATAAGTCATTTTTCAATGGGAGGAGGCAGAGTGGCCCTGCTTATGTACATTTGCTTTTCCTCAGCAGAAGAACAAGAAAGTTGAGACAGAGCAAAAACTCATTTTCTAGAATACATCCCTAAATAGCAACCAACCCTCTTAGTTTTAGCTAAAATACCAATGAAAAATTATTTTAGGCAATCACCAAATAATTTTGCTGATGGGATGAGAGGACATATAAGTGATTTTAACTAGCTGTCTATGCAACTATATGATGAAGAATGTGCCCTGTTCAGAAACGCTAATGCTTTTGAGTGTTTGGAGAGGAAAAATTGGCTTAAAACTGGATTTAAAGCACATTTCTAGTGAGAGTTGCTATTTTGCCTAGTCACGCATGAGTGGCACAGTCCCTCCTCTTGCAGTTATTGGTATATCTGCCACTGGAGATGCTCCCATTTAGAGGATTGGTGAGTTAGTGACCGTCAAAAGTTAAAATAATTGTGCTGTTGCCTTGGATGAAGTCTAAAATCCAGAGGGTCTCTAGGTCGGGAGGACCAGTCTACGGGTGCTCAGACACCGCTGCAAGAAGGGGAGTCCTAAGAGCTTTGGATTTAGTCTCGCTAGAGGTGCCTCTCCGTCACGGCCGTAGCAGGAGGAGGCATCCGGAGGCTCACCTTGTCGATGAAGCAGGCAAACTGGTTGTTGAGGTTCTTTATCTGCTCCTTCTCGTGGGTCCGCACTTGGCATTCCTCCGGGTCGACCCCTACGCAGAGCGGCTTGAGGAGCTCCGGGTGGATGCTGACGCCCCGGATGCCTTCCGACCTGCCCCCGGCGAGGCCGATGCCGATGCCGCCGATGCCGCCGCCGTAACCTCCGACGGCGACGCCGTCCCCAAGGCCTCTATAGCTGCCCAAGCCTCCGTAGCCTCCGCAGTTCCCAAACCCCACGACGGTTCCCACGCCAAAGCGGCCGCCGCCGTACGCCACGCCGCAACGTCCCACGTTGGCGCCTCCGTAGACGCTGCTCCGGCAGCTCCCGCCGAAGGAAATCCGCTGCCCTCTGCCCAGGTCGCACACGCTGCGGCTGCTGAAGCCGCCGATCCCACATCGTCTCCCCACGGGCTGGCACCCGGAGGCCGAGCTGCTGTTGCCCCGGCCGAGGCCGCCGACGGCGGAGGCCGATGAGAAGCCCCTTCGTCCCAGGAGGGAGCTGGACGTGTAGCACTGCCGACTCATGACGGCTCGGCCGGGGTGGCGATGGCAAAGCAGGAGAGGAGCAGAGAGTGAGAGGAGATCTCCTTTAGTTTCTCCAAGGGAGAGCCCTTCTCCTTATATACATTTCAGGAGGTGCCTGAGATGCAAAAAAATTTAATTTATCCACTGGGTTTGGCCTGCCTGGCAGCAAGGAATGGCTTCCAACATTTTAAACCCACAGCAAACACTTCTATCTCATATGAAATAATGTGGAAATTAAAATAAACTGCTTTGCTTGCAAGCTTCAGTTTCAGGACTTATATTTTACTTAATTAATCTGCTTCCTTATTGTGTAATTATAGTTTAGCAAAATAATTCAAGGGGTTTTTATTCATGGCTTGTTTACGGTTCGGTTTCACCACAGCGTTTAATTATATTTCAGGACCTCCTGCAAAATGCCGCGACGATGCCGCCCCTTCCAGGGTCTCTCGCCAGCTCCAGGTCGGCTCTTGAGCAACGTCCCGTGACGATAGCGGGGAAGCAGCGCGTATCCGTCGGGACGCTGTCGGGAGCATCCCCGTAAGCGAGCGACTCGTGCGCGGTGCCCGCGGGCGCGTTGGACGGCCCGTGGGGTTGGGAATCGTAGTATTGATCCGCTCTGCCTTGTGCCCGATGGGGAAAACTCTGGGTTTGGGAACGCTGCTGATGCCCTTTGAGGGTTGGGCACATGCACACAATTGGGGACCTGAAGAACGTGGTCACCACAACTTGTGGTTGGACCATTTTGAGCATTAGGTTGGGGATGAGGCATTTCTGGGGAGCCCTTGGTTGCAGAGAGCCGATTTTGCTATTGATTTCTGTGCAGGGGGTAACTGATTTTAGAATCTGGGTGTGATGTGACTGGTGTGCAGGGAGGATTCGTGCAAGCAGGATTTTTTTTCAAAGCAGCGAAACAGAGAGTTACGAGCAGGTTGAGAAATGTTAGCCAGAGCAAACCTTTTTCCTCTTATTCCTGCGACACACCTATTTGACATTAAATTATTCTAGTAATATCTGCTAATGAGAAGGTACGAACCTTTTTAATTAAAATTCTCACAAAGATTTTATTGAATTTGCTTGAAAACAAATAAAGTACCTTTTTTGCCTTAACAAATGGGGAAAATCAGAGAATCACAAGTGATTGCGCAGCTTAAGAAGCCTTTGCATCTTTGCTGGAGCAAAATTGACTGATTCTGGGAAAACATATTGTAAACTTGAAGCTGATTATATTGAATTACAAATAATACAAAGGAAGTATTAGATTTAGAACATTTGTGGAGTCTCTCTGGGTAGAGATCTTCCCTTTTTCTTAATGGATCTCATAACTGAGTGAAAGAAAATATTTTATGAAATTATAACTATGCAGTAGTGCTGCTGCAGTTGCACTGCTCTGAGGATATTAGGACACGAGTCTTGCAGTGAGATGTAATTTTATTTATGAGACTAAGGTAGGTGGCGGAAGCAGAGGAGCTTTGGGGCATTCCAGCCCTTCTTGTCATTCTGCCCATGGAAATCCAAGCACTTGAACCTCTTGCTAGTTAGTGAAAAGGGGATTTTTTTTCAGAAATTTATTTCATTCAGGAAATGCGGTTTGGGTGCAAGTTTTGTGGAGAACGACTGATATGAAAGCTCAGGCATTCGGGGTGATCTTGAAGCACCATCGCACCAGGTTGGTGCGATGCTCTGGGGCAGAGACAGGTCTTCGGGGTGGTGACCATGGATGCTGAGATGCTGCATGGGGGCTCTCCCATCCAGCAGTTGCATAGGGACAGACTCCACTTCATGGTGAGAAAGATGCCACCCTTCATCCTCAAGGGCAGCAACTTCCCAGGTTTTCCAGCCCTGAGAAACCTGGACGTGGTTGTGCTGAATCCCGACTTGCCTCCCCAGCTCTTCTTGATAACTCCCTGGAGCCCGGCTGGTGCCATTTGAAGACCGTAGACCTAGATGATGCCGAGGTCTCATTAGAAAGAAGGGAAAATGCTGCTCCTGCGACAACACATCCACCTTCCTCTGCCAACCAAGAGCTCTGGGCAGGCTCTCAGGTCCATTTGCACACCCAAAATGTTACCAGGCTCTTCCCACTCAAGCTAAGGGCAACAAACCTGCATTTCAACCTTGGACTCCTCCTTCCAGCCCTACAAAGTGCCACCTTGCAGGGACCCAGCCTCGCACATCATAGGTGGGTAGTGCAGGGCAGTGCCTGTGGTTTTGGCTACTGGGCTCTCAGAAAGCCCGTCCGCAGTCGCACGGTGGAAACCCTGAGCCCTACTTGCATAAACTTCAAAGGTGGCAACGCTCTGATGGGATTTGGTGCTCCTAGGAGCCGCGTTGCCAGCGCTTTCATTTTGCCCGCCCCATGGAGCACCAGCTCAGATCAGAAGCAAATGTTCTCCCTTTCTTCCCTTGCTTCCGCGCTTCGTCCTTGCTGATCGCAGGTCTGATAGTGTTTGAAGCATTGTAGGAAGAGATAAAACCACAGCTTTCAGGCTGATGGAGCTCAGCAAAGCTTAAAAGCAACAGCTTACACCCAGGTGGACTGGGGAAACCCCTGAGGTCCTTGGCCCCAAACATTCCTTGAACTGTGGTGGCTTCCATGAGTCGTAAACCTCTGAGATTTGCATGTATCCAGATGTGCTGGAGTGAATTAATTCAGCTCAAATGCCTGGCTAAACTGGAGCTTGTTAAGTCGCTTGCATGCCTAGGGAGATCTTAGAGAATTTCCAGTCTCCTGCTGTGATTTTGGGTGTAGCTACATGACCACCAAAGCATCTGCCCACTGAGAAAACCACTTGTTTAAGACCCTTTCCCAAGCGAACGGTGTTGGAGGACTCGGTCTCATGCTCTTAGTCCTTGGCCAGGCAGTTTTGTTGGCTCCCTGTGAAATGTCGTGGCTAATGAGGCCCTGGGGACCGTGTTTCGTGGAGCCAGCCCTCCAAAAGCTGTTTTTCCAGGTCCCTTAACTGCAGCTTGATTCTGCTCCCACATCAAAGCAGGTTTGTGCGGATAGGGCCTGGGTGGAGGCAATGGTCCAGGCTCCCTCCATGGCCATTGGGCACCTTGTTGCCCGGGCAGCATCCTCCCGCAGCCTCTCACTCTCTTCCCCCTCAGCTTGTGTTTTTTCCAGCCATTAAATAATATTTGTGCTGCTTTGGGGCAAGAAGATGGACAAGATAAGCCCTTAGGGGCCTTCCTGGCTATTCCCAGGCCATCAGTGGCCACCACCCAATCGTACTCACAGTTGAGCACCTCACCAAGACTTTGACCCTCTTTTTGCACTTCCTTCTGCAAAGAGGATTTGTGCCATAATAAATCAGAGGTGACCAATGGGGAATGATGGCAGGATGGCAATGTTGAGCAAAGCAGAGCAAAGAGTAGCTCTCAAAGGGGATGTCTCACCCAGGGCACATGGACAACTACCAATCTGTGTCCACTGTGGTGCATTGGCCTTTCTTGGTGCCCTGAAAAAAGTCCAGGTGTTTTGTTGAGGGGGACTTTATCAAATCTGGAGAGTTCCTTATTTGTGTGGTGGAAAATGTAGGTTTGGAAAGCAGAGCTGCCCATCTCTTTGGGGGAAAACTTGCATGTTTGTGCTGGAAATGTTACCTGTGCTTGGCAGCTGCAACACGAGCCTGGCTATTCAGCTTTTAAAAAGCCTCTGTTTCGTACCAGGTGACCTCAGCAGAGAAACTCTCCTTCGCAGTTCTTATTTACCATTTTGTTTTGCAAGAGACAAATAGGTTTCATACCAAGCATCACGGGTGTTTGCGCTCTCCCTTTGCAACCTTCCTCTTTTGCATAGGAATTTGCAAGAGCTTTTGCATCACCTGGCCCAGCTTCGCGCTGGCACTTGGGGCCTGATGGTGTTTTAGGGCTCTGAGTAATGGGGTGGGATTGGTATGGCAGTGGCTTGATGAAAGCAAGAGGAATATTGGGAATTGCTGCTGTGGAGGGTGATTAACCACCTGGTAAATGAAGGGAATGAGTTTTGCACCGCAAGTGTTTTTTTTTTCCTGGAGAGAAGGTGGGCTTTCCTTCCAAAAAAAGCAAGCCGTCAGGGAATCCCGTTTTGTGGTTGGAAATGCTGTGTTGTTGCATGGGACAGTTGACTTTCTCCCTCTTCTCTCCTACGATAGGAACTTTTGGAGCAGGCAGCATGTTCCTTCACGCACCGAGGCTGCCGGGGACGCTGCAGATGCCCTGCAGCAGCACAGGGAGCGTGTGGGAGGAGGGAAATTCAGCCTCTGAATTTCAACTAGTTCCCATCGATAGGTCTTTAAATCCCCATTTCTGTGTGTATGCACAGGAGTATATGTAATAACGACCATAAAAACCAGCTCTTTGGTGTGTGCGGTTAGTAGGGACAATTTTGCAAGCCTATAAACAGGGTTTAAAAAAGAACATAGAGACAAAATGCAAACACTGCATGTGGTTTACAGGCAGCAGGGTAAGAGATATGGAGGTTTTATCAGCAATTTGATTTCGGTTTGCTGTGTGGGTCTAAAGCACACGGCTCTGCAAAAGGAGATGTTCACCAGGAAGCAAAACTCATTTCTGCCCTTGTGAAAATGAGTTAGCGGGTGAGATAACCCAAAAGATGAGCAACATGTCTAGCAGAGTGTTCTCTTACCTGAATTCAACTGCCTAAAAAAATGTAGGTATGGGCTTCATTAAAATTCAATGGGAAAGCTTGATATTATCCAACAAAACGTTGTTTTGGAAAGACACCAGAGTAAGAAAACTTGGAGGCAGCAAGTTGCAGTTTGCAGGGCCACCGGTCCAGATGGGGGAGAAAAGGTGGTGGCCACACAGGGCTACCAAACTCAGCAGAATAAAAGGAGAAATATGAACCGGGAGAAATAGCCACGCTGGTCTTATGAACACCTGGCTATTCATAAAGCTTTCCAGAGATGGGCACTCAGATTAAGGAGCTTACAGAAGGTATAACTTCTAGAGGACGTACCTATTACCTTAATAAATGGTTAGAGTCACTTTTGTGATTC